GCCCGGCCCACGAGTCAGCTTTGCCTTTCGGGGGGGAGGGGGGGGGAGGGAAAGAGGGAGGGAGGGAGGGAAGGTGGAGGAGGCAGGAGGCGGAGGAGGAGGAGGAGGAGGAGGAGGACGACGACGACGAGGAGGAGGACGAGGAGGGAGGAACAGCTTTGCACTTCGGGGGGGAGGGGGGGAGGGAAAGGGGGAGGGAAGGGGGAGGGAAGTGGGGAGGGAGGCAGTGGGGGAGGAGGGGGGAGGAAGAGGAGGGTGAAGGGGAGGAGGAGGAATGAGGAATGAGGAATGAGGAATGAGGAATGAGGAATCAGGAGGAGGAGGAGGACGAAGAGGAGGAGGAGGAGGAGGAGGAGGAGGAGGAGGAGGAGGAGGAGGAAAGGGAGGAACAACTCTGCACTTCGGAGGGGAAGGGGGGGAAGGGAAGGAAGGAGGAAGGGAGGGAGGAGGGAGGAAAAGGAGGAATGAGGAGGATGGAGGAGGAGGAGGGGCGACGAGGAGAAGGAACGAGGATGATTTTCAAATGGAGTGCGAAGGAGTGCCTCTGGGGAGTATCTCCAGAGGCTTTCGGGCGGAGTGCGGACGACTGCGGAGGATTTCAAATTCGAGCGGAGGCCTCTGGGGAGCACCTCCAGAGGCCTCCAGGAGGAGTGCGGACGAATGCGGAGGATTTCAAATTCAAGCGGAGGCCTCTGGGGAGTGCCTCCGGAGGCTTTCGGGCGGAGTGCGGACGAGTGCGGAGGATGTCAAATTCAAGCGGAGGCCTCTGGACTGCCTCCCAGAGGCTTCCGGGAGGAGTGCGGACGAGTGCGGAGGATATCAAATTCGAGCGGAGGCGTCTGGGGACTAGTGCTGGAGGCCTCCGGCGGGAGGATTGCGGACGAGTGCGGACGATTTTGAATTGGAGGCTGGAGGATGGGAGGGTGGGGCGGCGGGCGAGGGAGGGGGGAGGGATAGGCCCGGCGACAAAGAAGCGACCACATCTTCTTTGCGAGACCTTGCGTGCAGAGGCTGTGATATGATTCGGGCAGGCCCAGTGAGGCACACATGAAAACATCTCCCTGGCGAAGACGTGCGTGCAGAGGCTGTGATATGTTTTGCCAGCCGCGGTGAGGGAGACTTCAAACCATCTTCCTTGCCAAGATGTGCGTGCAAAGGCTGTGATGCGATGATGTTGGCATGTGAATCGAACGATGTCGTGCGTGCGATTGCTGTGCGATGATCTGGTTGTGATGTGGAGGCAACTGTGAACCGAACGATGTCGTGCGTGCGATGGCTGTGCGATGATCTGGTTGTCATGTGGAGGCAACTGTGAACCGTCTGGCGCGCTCCGCGTGCCACGGTCGTTTATTTCGCACACACCGGTACTACTACTACTACTACTACTACTACTACTACTACTACTACTACTACTACTACTACTACTACTACTACTACTACTACTACTACTACTACTACTACTACTACTACTACTACTACTACTACTACTACTACTACTATTACCACTACTACTACGACTACTACGACTACTACTACTATTACTACTGCGACTACTACCACTACTACCACTATTACTACTACTACTACTACTACTACTACTACTACTACTACTACTACTACTACTACGACTACTACTACTACTACTACTACTTCCATTCCTATCCTCTACTACTACTACTACTACTACTACTACTACTACTACTACTACTACTCCTGCTACGACTACGGCTACTCATTTCTACGACAACTACCACGACGACGACTACTCCTACTACTATTACTACTACGTACTACTTCGGCCACTATTACGACTACGGCTGCTACAACCACCTCTTCTGTTACGACGACATACGACTACGATTACCACTACTACTACTACTACTACTACTACTACTACTACTACTACTACCACTACTACTACTACTACTACTACTACTACTTCCACTACTACCACTTCTTTTTCTGTTACTAGTGCTGGCACTGCTACGATTGCTTGTACCCTCACGAGTACTACGGCTACTACTACTTCTATTTGTTGTATTACCATTCACACTACGACTACTACTACTACTACTACTACTACTACTACTACTACTACTACTACTACTACTACCACTACCACTACTACTACTGCTGCCTCTACTACTACTACTACTACTACACTACTACTACTTACTATTACTACTACTACTATACTACTACTACTACTACTACTATACGACCTACTACTACTACTACTACTATACTACTACTAACTACTACTACTGCTACTACTACTACTACTACTACTACTACTACTGTTATGACTACTACTACCACTAGTACTACTACTACTACTACTGCTACTACTACTACTGCTACTACTACTACTACTACTACTGATGCAACTACGACTACTACTACGACTTCTACGACTACGACTGCGACTACCACTACTACTACTACTACTACTACTACTACTACTACTACTACTACTACCTTTACTACTACTACTACTACTACTACTGCTACTATCACTACTACTACTACTACTACTACTACTACTACTACTACTAGTACTACTACTACTACTACTACTACTACTACTACGACTGCCACTTCTACATTTACTACGACTACGACTACGACTACCACTATTACTGCACTACTACTTCTTCTTCTTCTACTACTACTACTACCACTACGACCACATCTATTATTGCTACTGGTATTACTTCTACTACTACTACTACTACTACTACTACTACTACTGCCACTTGTACTACTACTACTACTACTACTACTACTACTACTACTACTACTAGTACTACTAGTACTACCAGTAGTACTAGTACGACTACTGTTACTACTACAACATTTACTACTACTACTAATATTACTAGTTCTTCTACTACTTCTTCTTCTTCTACTACTACTACTACTATACTACCACTACTACTACTACTACTACTACTACTACTACTACTACTACTACTACTACTACTACTACTACTACTACTACTACTACTACTACTACTACTACTACTACTACTACTACTACTACTACTACTACTACTACTACTACTACTACTACTACTACTACTACTACTACTACTACTACTACTACTACTACTACTACTACTACTACTACTACTACTACTACTACTACTACTACTACTACTACTACTACTACGACTACTACTACTACTCCTGCTGCTACTACGGCTGCTGCTACTATTACTAATACTGCTACTACTACTAATTTTATTTTGTACTCGTGTACACGCCCACTCTGCCTCCTAGCCTTCCGATTTGGACCCAATCCGGGCCCTTCCGTCCTATTTCTTAGAAGCCACTACGAAGACGACGATCTTCGTTTCAAAATGGACATGATGTCGTCCGTGCCGCAAAATTCGAGAAGTGGCGAAGTGTCCTGGCTCGCCTATAGGCCCACCACAGAAAGTTCTAAGAACCTTCTGTGGTCTGGACGACACGTTCGTAGAACATTTCTGGCTGATCTTGTTTTATATTAACACATCGGGCCTCTGTTCTGAATACGTTGTTTTGTTATTCGAACATGTTGGGGCTCTGATAACATGTCGCGGCAGGCCTGTAGGAATGCCGGGACGGTCGGTCCCTGCTCAAAAAAATGCGTGGCAGGAGCGGCACGGGGCGCACCCCCCGCGCGAGAGGCCGAGGTGTCGTTCTCGCTCTGGCGCCGCGCTCCCTGCCCTGGAGAATGGAGCTCTCCCGCGCGGGCGCGGCGCACACCTGCCGCACGCGGTGTCGTCGACGCGGGGGCGGGCAACCACTCAGACATCTGACGTCTCGATGTTTTCGAGGCGCGGGCCCCCGACCTCTCGACCCCTTCCCCGGGACCCGTCTTTCATCCCGAGTCGTTTTTTGACGTTCCCGAGGCCCGGCGAAGGCCCCGAGGGGTCGAGAGCGACGAGCAATTTCCGTTTCGTTTTTTTCGAGAGGCCCGATGTCAAGGCATGCAGCTCTCGCATCGGCGCCGCGCAGATTCCGCCTGAAGGTGGCGCTCCCGCCCTGACGCGGGGCAAACAGCCGTCACTCGCCAGTCCGGGGGGGAGGGGGGGGAAAACCGCGCGGGAGTGGGCGACCTGCCGACCTCGTCCAAAAGCTCTGTGCGGCATGTCGCTCGGAAGTGGTGTCCCGCGCGGGGCGCGGTGCGTGGTTCGTTCGCGGAGGAGGGAGGAGGGGGAGGAGGGGAAACGCACGAGAACGAGGAGGAGGGGGGGGGGAGGGGGAGGGGAGGAGGAGGAGGAGGAGGAGGAGGAGGAGGAGGAGGGAGGAGGAGGAGGAGGAGGAGGAGGAGGAGCAGGAGCAGGAGGAGGAGGAGGAGGAGGAGGAGGAGGAGGAGGGAGCAGGAGGAGCAGGAGGAGGAGGAGCAGGAGGAGGAGGAGAGGAGGAGGAGGAGGAGGAGGAGGAGGAGGAGGAGGAGGAGGAGGAGGAGGAGGAGCGACGGAGGAGCGACGGAGGAGCGACGGAGGCCTGGCCGCCGCACCGCCAGGGGCGGGGGGCGCGGCGAGGGCCGACGGGGGATGGCGGCCGGGCCCGCGCGAGAGCGGGCGACATGCCGACCTCGCACACGCGTCGCGCAGTTTGTTCGTGAAGGTGGCGGGTCTGTCCCAGCGCGGCGCATGATGCGTCTCCGCCGCGCCCACCGGAAGCTCTGCCCGTCCTGCCCCCTTCCGCGGCGCGCGCATCGTGCCCTTCGCCAGGTCTTTGGGGGCGGGCCCGCGCGCGAGTGCCTGTGGGAAGAACGGGCTCCGATCCGAACATCCAGTTGTGACACACTTCATTACCCTCCTCCTCCTCCTCCTCCTCCTCCTCCTCCTCCTCCTCCTCCTCCCACCCCTCCCCCTCCTCCGCCTCCTCCTCCTCCTCCATGGGAATAGGCGGGGCCCTCTGATTCGCTCGACCGGGCCAACTCGACTCGAGCTCCTGCTCCTCTTCCTCGTCGTGAGATCCACGACGCCCGCTGTGCCCTGCGCGAGGATGCAGCGGCTCTTCCGCAAGGGCATCTTCTGGCAGGCGGCCCCGTGGGTGAGGGGGGTCCGTGTCCAGGGGCGGAGGAAGATTGAAAACGCCTACGGTAGGTTTGCGTCGTGTCGACCAGCGGCGACCCCAGCGCGGGCGTTCAAGGTTGAACGCCGCCGGCGACCCAGAATCGATCGATGTTGAACGATCGGAGGTTGCGGCAGCGGCCGATCGTTCAAGGTTGAACGATCCCTGCGGTGTCAAAAACCAACGCTGGGGTCGGCACGACACGAACCTGCCGTACGGCGAGTCACCGCCGCCCTCTGCCTCTTGGAAGCGCCCGTGCGGCCAAAGGTTTGGCCTGACTCTGGTCAAGCTTCTGGACCGTGTGTTCCCACACAGTCGGCGTGGATCCCGTTTGGAGGAACATCTGGGGGAGGAAAGGAGGAGGAGGAGGAGGAGGATATGAGGAGGAGGATGAAGAGAAGGAGGAGGAGGAGGAGGAGGAGGAGAATGATAATGATAACGACTACAAGACTTAGTCTTACGGAGCCCCCTACTGGTGCGACTTACACAGGGGGCCTCTCTTGAGCTTCTCCTGGGCGCTTAGAACCTTCGGCCACAAACCCGATATCCTCTCCAAGTACTCGGAACGGTGGCCTGGAATTACACGCGTGCAGATCTTGCCGAAATCTCTGAGCTGCTGGGCAGCATAGCACCCGCACTTGATACAATACCACAAGCGAAGGCCGTTGTGCAACTGCATCCTATGTGTGTCGTGGACCCACCCTCCAGCGATATGTAGGTGGGCCCCCGAGGGCTTATGGAAGATCAAACCGTCGGGATTCTCTGGCGTGAAACACGGGGATTTCCTCCAAACGATTTGACAACTCTTGGCGGCAGAGCCAACACATACCGCGCATCGCTTCCCAGTATCGTCCAGACAGTGGGAGGAGGAAACACGGACAAAGAACCAGCAGACGGAGGGCGGATGGTTTGAGAGGCAGCAAATCTCTTGGACCCAGGCTCTTTTTCATCAGCTCCCGTTGCGTCGAGAGTAGCACGAATCATTATCAACCTCATTTGTAACGCCCGCTTCTCCAGAAGACCAACCCGTTGTCTGACAGTTTGCGGGAGCCGAACGCGTTCAGCAGCATGACTGGCGGCGAGGTCCACGATTGTGTTTCCAGTGAGAACCCAGTGCTGGCGGGGGTTCCGCACCACTCCTTCATCCTGATGAGTGGACAAACAACAGAAATCTCCTCGGGCGGCCGATCCCTCAGGAGGAGCCCCAGAGCAGCCCTGAGATCGTCATCATCGCCTCCAGGATCCTCCCAGCGCCTACTGCGCCACCCTTTGACGACAGGTTCACAGTCAGCAACATACACCACATTGCCTCGCGAGGCCCACACCGCCAGGACCAGGGCCCGAAGTTCCCCATGGGGAACAGATTGCCTGGGCCCCACCAGAGGCCCAGACAGTCCCCGCAAGGCAGACTTGGGGCTCCAAGCTGTGGAAGGAGTATACAGCAAACCCAACCCTTTTGAACCTCGTGCGAGCAGAGTCTGGACCTCCACTAGCATCCCCAAAGATCAATAAGGGTGCCTGAGGAGTCCCCACGCCAAGACAAGCAGGCCCCAGGTCGCCGTTGAGGCCCGTGAAGACCCACTCCTCCTCCTCCTCCTCCTCCTCCTCCTCATCCTGCGGCGGCGGCACAGCAACCCATGCAGACGGCAGCAAGCCCCTTAGCCAGAATGATGGCTCCATGTCCGCTTGCGCCTCGGCATGAGGGAGGAGGTCGCATGTCTGTTCATAGATGCAGTGCCCTGTGTTACTCGTGCAACTCCAGATCCGATGTTTGGCAGTCTCCTCTTGGCAACCGCATCTCGGGCAAAGGATGGGGCAGCTGTAGTCCTTGACCTCTGCCTTACGCCTCGCTCGGGGCCATACCCCGCCAATCGCACAACATAACAACGTCCCAGACAAACGATGACCGATGACTGGCGTCTCCTGCAGATGCTTCAACAGCAGACAGTATGATACAGCATCGGTACCACCTTCCAACCCAGCGCCGTCACAGTGGAGACTAGCTTGAGCCCACATACGCTTCTTGATGACGCCCTCCAAGTCGTCCAGGAAGGCCCGGCAGGAATCAAGTGCCGCAACTCCCTGATACATGTGATCATCGGAGCGCCAACTGCCCTCTGCATACTGGTGACCCTGAGGAATGACCCAGGCTGTGGCTTCAGGAACTGACCACCCAACCTCTACCAGGTGCAGGATGACCGCCGTCGTGGGTCCTCGCACCCAGCGCGACCACTGCGCCTCTGGCTGGGCGAGCAGCTGTTGCGAAGCCTTGGCCCAGACACGAGGGACTCCAGCTCGCAGATCAGGCCGGCCCCGCCGCGCGGACAACCGCATATCCATGCGCATCACTGGCGAGCGAATGCTAGGATCCTGTCCAGGCGCCCGCAGCTCCAACATCGTGGTCAAGCATCTCCCTCAGCCGCGCATGCTAGCCCTGGGCGTCGTCTCGCCTGGACCAGTCTCCGCCCGAAGCTGTCGTGCATTTGGAAGCCGTGCGTCCCAGCAGCTTGAGCACCCTGCAGCTCCAGCCTGGCGGTGGTGCGGCACTGCCTCGCTGCCCTATCAAAGCGCCCGATGTTGGCGCTCATGAACTTGCGCTTGGCATCCCTCTTCCGCCTGGTGCTGTGTCCCAGCCGGCTCGCGCGCGAAATATCCACTCCCAGAGAAGCAGCATGCGCTTGAGGTGCCACCTGGAATCCAGCGCGCTTCACCGCTCGACTAATCCAGCGCGCATCCTCAAGATGAGTGCAGACCACGCCAGATTTGGGAGAAATTCGGAGCTTACCCGCCGGCAAGGCTTGCCCCGTCTCAACAATTATGTCACGAAGATGTCTGCGCACGCTGGACCTCGAACCATAAGCCTGCTGGGGGAGATCGTCGACCCATAATATGTGATCGGCCATTGGGAACTTGCTCGCGACACCACGAAGGACAAAGTCCGCGAGCGCGCGGCCGAACCTCGTGCCCGAGCGCAGGTCCTGCACTATACTCTTCGTCGGTTGGAACGGGACTGGCGAGGCTCCAAGTTGGCTAAGCATTCTGGGCGACATGCATTGAAGCAGTTCGAGGTGCGAAATCCGAGGAGGGAATCCCGTGCTCGACGCATTGCGAAAAAGAATCGGCCACTCGATGAAATCATGAAAAGACTGGGTATCGCATAGCCCACGTCCGACTTCGACTTCGAGATGCCAGCGAACCTCCGCCCTTCAGTGATCTGACATACGCTTCTCTAATATTGGAACTGCCGCGCACGGCTGCGCCCCGCGATTGCCCCGCCTCATCGGGCCAGTCTCTCACGGGCGGCTCTTGCGCAAGAGAACAGAGCCGCCCGAGAAGAGGGGCTATTCCGACAATCCCATGCCCGCTCGATATTTGTAGGCAACATGCGCTCTAAGGTCATCGTGAGTTGGCCAGGCCAGCATAAAGCGCTCTCACAAGCCTCCAGAAGACTACCCAGTTCTTGCAGCGCAGCATCTGGCAACCTCTCCACGTCGACGGGCGAGAGGAAGTCCACCCCATTGCCAGTCGTCGCTCTCATTCTTCGAAGCGCCCGCCTGATTTCTGACACCGAAATGCTGGGGAGCGGCTCGTCCGCAGCAGCGGTCTCGATGTCAGCGAAAGTCGACTGCGCCATGCCCTCGTTCATGGGGTTGGGCGCCCACAGATCGCGCCACTGCGTCGCCTTCGCATCGATCAGGTCCCTAGGGCGGAAGAGCTCCTGCTGATCCCCCACAGCGTCCAATGTTGGGATCGGCATCGGCACAAGACATCTACGCAGCTTCCCTTGATAATCAGCTTCGCCCACAAACGCTTTGAACCCCGTCAAGGACTGTTGGATCGCGCGCCTCTGAGCGCGCGCAGCAATCTTTTTGACAGCCAGGGTAAACCGCCCCGGCGCACGAACATCACAGCCACGAATATTCCGAAGGACAACCTGCCACTCTACCCAAAGTAACTTTGGACTGGATCAGAAGGGCATGAACTAACTCAGGGCAACTGTCCAGGTGTCGCGAGCAAGACTGAATGTGCCTGTCCTGCTGATCATGCCCATTCCCCGTCTCGCAATGTTCCACCAGCCACTGGGGACATCACGTAAGGGAGTAGCTCGAACCTTGGATGCCATCTTGACCGTCTGGACCTCGCAGTGGACTCCTGCCGATCTGCTGGGCCCAGCAGCTGGCGACTCGCCATGGTGGCGATAGACGCAGCGTTCAACAGAGGACACCCACGTAGCGCACAGATTGGAGACGTCTGCGACCAATGCAGGTCTGAGACGAAAGGCAACGGATTGCTGCAGAGCGGGATCGAGGGTCTGAAGAATCTGATCACCGCGTCGGAAGCCAATAGCTTCTCGGCTCTGCGGTCAAGCATCGCTGGGGATACAAGAGCTGGGAGCGCGCATATTTCCTTCCTGCGAAGGCCTCGCCACTGCAATGGGGGGCGCAAGCTGCGGTGCCTCAGGGGGCACCCCAGGCTGAGAAACACAAGTGTCAACATGGGCCGTGGCCACTGGGTCGGCGGCGGCGGGGCGGAGGTTGGGGTCGTTGGCCCGCGGATCTTCCTCCGCCTCCTCCTGCCAGACCGAGGCTTCGACGTCGACGTACTCACAAGGATCAAAACTATCAGTGTTGGCATCCAAAGACGCGGCTTCTATACCCTTAGAAGCGCCATCCTCAGATGCAGCCCGAGAGATTCCCTTACAGTCTCCAGACAATGAATGAATGCGCTTGAGCCTAGACGCCACAGCGAGCTGCCGCTGCTCCTGCCTGCGAGCCTTCGCGAGACTTGATTTGGACCCGACAGTGGGCGCTGTAGAGGGCCTCTGGAGCTGAGGAAGCCTGGCGGGGCTCACCATAACCCTAGTGAGAAGCTGGGCACCAGAACTCCTGAAATCTACCGCCAGCCCAATGTGTGGGCGCCAAGGCACAGAAATGACTGGGGAGACCGATACAATGAATGGCCTCGCAACTCACTGCACATGACGTAGCCGAGATGGGCGCCAGAAGAGGGGGGGCAAGTTGCTGCCACGTCAGCTGTCACGATGATGGCACCGAGTTTTTGCGGGACACCAGTGCGAGCCAATGCTTGTGGGCTCATGTTGGAGCCGCCAATCGCGACCCATGGCGCGTGCAGTAAGGCCGCTATGCGCTTGATTCTGCCGATGTTGGCGCCAGCGTAGCCCATGCTCGAGTGCAAGTAGCACGTGACGATGGCCATGTTGCACCCTTGAAAATACGCCCATCGCCACGAATCCGTCAAGCGACGAGCTGCCTGGGGCCCATGCTTGGAGCCTGCAGCTTTGATGGCACTCAAACGATGACACTGAAGGTGACCTCTTGCCAACAGCCGCTCGCCCCCTTCGTTGACATGCTCGACATGCCCAGGACGAGCTGCCCTCGAACTCGATCGTGCAGCTTCGGGGTTCATGCGAAATCCACGACGGCGACACTTCATTTCCTACTTCTGAAGACTGGCAGGCAAGTGCACGTGCGTCTCCAGGAAGGCATACACCGTAGGCGATGCTTAAGAAAGCTTAAGTTTTCGGCCAGAGTCTCGATTCTTCTTAACTTTTCAATGTAAATCCCAAGATTTTGACAGAAGTTCGGGGTTTTCTTCAATTTCTGAGACTATGAATTTCTGAACCCATGATTTCTTAAGCATTTCGCAGGGTGTACTCGTACTGCCCCAGAGACGCGTCTGGCCAAAACCATGCAGGGGTGAGCCTCGAGGGTGAGGGGCTCGTCGCGGAAGGGGTGGGTCAGGCCGCGCCCGGCATCCCCCCCCCCTCCTTCCCTCCCCTCCCCCCTCCCCCCAGGGCGACAAGTAGGGGCCTCCGCCCCTCCTGTGTCCGCGCTGCTCTTCGACCCGCTGCGCTTCCACATCTGAGTCGCACATCTGTGTGCGCATGTCGGCTAACTGTCGCCGCCCTCGGTCCTGCCCACTGGCTCGCAGAGGAGAAAAACCTCCCTCCTGCCCGCCGTTGCGGCGTAGATCGGAACGGTGCAGAGCCAGAAGCCAGAGACCAGCAGGAGGGCGGGGAGGGCGAGGGCGGGGAGGAGGCGATAGCACGAGGAGCGGGACTGATGAGGAGAAGTGGGGTGTTGATTGTGGTGATGATGATGGCGATGATGATGTTGATGAGATCGATGCTGTTGATGGTGATGATGATGATGTTGCTGCTGATGATGATGATGATGGTGATGGTGATGGTGGTGATGGTGATGGTGATGGTGATGGTGGTGGTAATGATGCTGATGATGATGACGGTGGTGGTGATGGTGATGGTGGTGATGATGATGAGGAGGAGGAGGAGGACGGTGATGGTAATGGTGATGGTGAGGAAGAGGAAAAGGAGGAGGAGGACGAGGAGCAGGAGAAGGAGGAGGATGATGGTGATGGTGATGCTGCTGCTGATGATAATGATGCTGTGCTGATGATGATACTGATGATGGTGATGATGATGACGATGGCAATGATCATGACGATTTCGATGCTGATGCTGCTGATGATGATGTTGCTGAAAATGATGGTGATGATGATGACGATGATGATGGTGAATATGATGATGGTGATGAGGATGATGATGACGATTGTGATGATGCTGCTGGTGATGATGAGTAAGAGGAGGATGAGGAGGATCATGATGATGACGATGGTGATGCTGCTGATGATAATGATGCTGATGATGATGATGAGGAGGAGGATGCTGATGATGATGTTGTTGATGACGATGGTGATGATGATGATGATGCTGATGATGATGATGGTGGTGGTGATGGTGATGGTGATGGTGATGATGATGCCGGCGATGGTGTTGATGGTCATGATCGGGAGCCTTGAGACGGGGATCAATGCAAACGGGGGTCAGCCAGAGCGCCAGATCTTGCATGATCCTGCAGGGCCAGCCTCCCATTGACCCGGGTTTGGGTGCAGGACCCTGCAGGATCTTGAAGGATTTTTCGCATTGACCCGGGTTTGGGTGCAGGGTCTTGCAGGATCTTGCAGGATTTTGCAAGGCCTGGCTGACCCGGGTCTAGATTGACCCGGGCCAGAAGATCCCCGACACGATGTGGTGATGATGGTGATGATGACCATTGTGGTGATGATGATTGCAGCATATTGCAGCTCGGAGGCTCCTTGCAAGACTTGTCCAGATAGGTAAGTTTGAGTGAGTGTATTTTGGAAGACCCCTCGAGGAACTCACGGGAGACTTCCAGAGGCCCTAGGTGTTTTGGACCAGGATTCGAGGCCCTGTCATATGTGCAGGAGTTGCTCGGCCCCTCCCTGTCCGGGCCCCTCTCCGAGGCCCCCCTGCCCGATAATTGTCCTCCCTGCTCGGAGGGGACTCCCAGGTCCTCCCAGTTGTGTGCCCTGTGCCAACAGCTGGACAGCTCGTCGTCGTTCGTCGTCGTCGTCAGTCGTCCGTCGTCGTCGTCGTCGTCGTCGTCGGGGGGCGGCTTGGCCTTACCGCACGCGCTGGTAACAACAGATTTGCCTTTATTCACGTACAGCATGTGGGGAGACGTTGCTCTTGCTGGTCAGACGGGCGTGGTATTGCTTCGGCGACGATGATGAGGATGATGAGGCTGACGATGCTGCTAATAATGATGTTGATGATGCTGATATTGCTGATGATGGTGATAATGATGATGATGATGATGATGATGATGAGGAGGAGGAGGAGGAGGAGGAGGAGGATGAGGATGAGGATGATGCTGATGATGATGATGATGGTAATAGTGATGAAGATGACGATGCGGCTGATGATGATGATGATGATGATGATGATGCTGATGCTGATGATGATGATGATGCTGGTTTGTGTTGATGTTGTTATCGCTGCTGATGCTGATGTTGGAGGTGGTGATTGTGGTTTTGATCATGGTGATGATGGGGAAGGGCGTTGAGGATGAGGAGTAGCATCAAACTTATTGACGTTTTGATGATGCTTGATGTTGAGGATGTGGATGCTAATGATGACGACGGTGCCGCTACAGATGCCGAGCACCGGTGGTGATGGTGATGGTGATGGTGATGATATTGATTATGATGATGGTGATGATGACGATGATGATGACGATGACGATGACGATGACACTGGTGATGATGACGATGGTGTTGGTGGT